GGAATACCATCGGGCCCTGGCGAATAAACAGGCTTAATACGAAGAAGATCCAAAAGAAGAGAGCTTTCTGTTAAAGTGGGACAGAATATGAGGTTTGACTTGGACATGGTGTAAGAATAAGGCTGTGATGAATAATCTAAAGTAGAGTAAGTCGTTTGAAAAAATTGGGCAAATAAATCGGCTATTGCCTGATCTGTGGTTGCCGTCATGTTTTCGAACGACAGCGAGGAAGGAAAAGAATTAGATTTACGCTTGGTGTTAACAAAATTATAAAACTGTTTCGGGTCCTGAGAGAACTGGACCTTACAACGGTTTAAGTAACTATTATAACACTGAGCATTAAGCACGGTAAATCTTGACCGAGCACTTAAATATCTAGTAAAAACAGATTGAGAACCGGTATTTTTATATTTCCTAAAAAGTCTGGACTTTACATTTCTTAAGTGTGTCAAGTCTTTGCTAAACCATTGTGATTTATTGGAAGTTGACGGATAGTACCACGGAACACAGGAATTAAAAAATGAGTTTATTGCAGTGTAAAAAACATTAACTGCATCGGACATATAAATGCATAAGTAAAGATCGGACCAATTAAAGCCAGAAATAAAATTATTTAGCCTCAGAAAGTCTGCCTTGCGAAAACAATGCATTCGTTTGGATTTTTCTGATTTTTCTTCTATAACTCTACCCGTATCAAATGAAAGTTCGATTGTTGGATGATATGGATCTTCAGGTTGCGTGAGTGGTGCTACTCTGGACAGAAACACACCTTCAGGATTTGATACAAAACACAAATCAAGTATGGTTTACTTGAGATAGAGATATGTCAAGCAGGCCATCAATAAAATCATGCTGTGCTATAGGTAATAAGACATTCGATCCATCCTCAGTGGACCAAGTAACTCCAGGTATATTAAAATCAACTAGAACTATCAACTGATCCCTATCGGAAAGCTTATTTGCAATGGTCTTAATAACGGATAGGTGATTTAAATAATCAAGAACGGAATATATGAGCAAGTTATGTATATAAAGTTACCAGGAAGCGATAACTTTACACTTCAATGGTATTGAATTCATCAAAAAATAACTCCTCAGACGGGAAGTTTGAATCAACTCCAATTATGACTCCACCTCCCCGTCTAGGGGGACGGTCATACCTATATATTGTGTACTTACCTGGAAAAACTTCGGAGCTAAAGATCTCCGGCTTTAACCAGGTTTCTGTGAACGCAATAGTATGAGATGCAAAAAAAGGGCTATCGGAATACAATTTAGTGAGTTTGCTACGCAAACCTCTCGCATTCTGATACGAAAGAAGGAGGTTAGAAGTTAGTTTTTTGAAATTGGTACACTGGTTTGGCCTCGACTAGGAAGTTTTACTCCCTCGGGCCCCTTCTTCTTTATCTTAGCCTCGAACTCTTTTACAACCATATTATCCGGCCAAAAGTCGCCCGAGCATATGGCTTCAGAAAAGCTCGTTAGGGACAGTTATCTTGAAAGATGAAATGTCTCTAGCATAAGAAAACTTAAACTTTTCCACCTTTACACTATTACAATCGACTTTAGTTTTGTCTTGTATATAAGACAATACATTAGAAGATGTTTGATCAGGGGAAAGCCGAGAAACGAAAATTTGTTTCTTTAGTGGAACCACTAAAAGGGATTTTGGTGGACCAGACATTTTTTCTGCAAAACCAACTTGAGCCGGTTGTCCGGACTCAGTAGTGCCTTGTAGTGGAGATGCTACATTCTGAGAGATAGGTGGATCCACTAATTGTGAAACCACTACGGACAAATCGGAATTCTTAGAAGTCCCTGCTTGCATGCATTCTGTAACGGATTGTTCGGATACCGAATCTTTTTTAGCTGCTGATCTTAGCAACATTTGAGGGTTTGCTGAAATCAGCTGCTGATCCGCCGGAATGCTCTGTTGTTCTTTTGATTTCGGTTGCGGGGTGTTCCCCTTTTGCTCCTTACCACCAGCGGCCTTTTTGCGCTTAGGGGACTCTTCTAATAGCTTACGACTATTAAACTGCGAGTCCAGCGCAGAGAGGAGATCATCAGCTCGGCGAAAACTATCTCTAGCCACTCCGAAACAGCTAATCAACCCCATCAGGCCGCCTTTAGTTTGGCGCATGAACGATTTCATCTCGTTCGCAACCTCGACACAAGCGTCACAACAAAACTGAATTGAAATTTATAAGCGAGCAGTTATAAGTACCGCAAGAGCGCAGAAACTGCACGCTTAGAACTTTCAAAGCAAAGAGAGCAAGAGAGCGGGAGCGTAAATAAGTTAAAGTGCATGCACAAAATAGAAACGGCGGGGATATAAGAAAAGAAAAGACAGATAAGAATTACGAAAAACTAAAACAATTTATTAGTATTAAATACAAAGTGCACTCGCGAAGCGAACGGAGTTTAAATTTATGTTTAAATAAACCGGAAGAGAATTAAAATTAAAACAAAATGCAAAATTCGAAGCGCAGAAAAAAAACACGACCGTTCACTTTGAAAGTCAAAGACGAATTTGTATATATATTCTTGATCAGCATCACCAGGAGAGTCGATCTAGCCATGTCCGTCTGTCCATCCGTCTGTCCGTTTCTAAGCAAGCTAGTCCCTCATTTTTAAACCTATCTGCTTAAAACTTTCACAAAAGTTGTCTTTCTATTGCAGGTAGTATATAAGTCGGAACGAGCCGGATCGGGCCACTATATCATATTGCTTCCATAGGAACAATCGGACATTTTTTTTAAAAAGTATAACTTTGTTGTTTTTTATTTTTGTTTGTTTTTTTGGATTTAGTAATATTTAAAAACTATGGAATTACGGTTTTAAATTAATTAAAATCGGCCATCTATATCATCTAATCGAAAAAATTAAAGAAATAAAAATAAAACAAGAAAGGAAAGCTGACTTCGGGCGGAGCCGAAGTTGATATACCCTTGCAGAATATTCTGTAAATTATATTCTCCAAAATTATTCATATGATGCATTCTTAATACTCATAAAAAATCCCAAATTCCTAACTTTAAAAAGTCCAAAGTTATGGCATTTCCAACCGTCCAGTTATATGGCAGCTATAGGATATAGTCGGCTGATCCTTATGAAATTTGGTAGGTCGGATTGATTGGCCAAATATAAAATCCATAGAAAATCCCAACTTCCTAACTTTACAAACACGAAGTTATGGCATTTCCGATCAATCAGTTATATGGCAGCTATGGGATATAGGCGGCCGATCCCGACCGTACCGACTTATATACTGCGTGCAAAGGACATGCTTATATCAACTCAGGAGGTGATCCTGATCAAGAATATATATACTTTATAGGGTCAGAGATGTCTCCTTCACTGCGTTGCACACTTTTGACCAAAATTATAATACCCTCTGCAAGGGTATAAAAAAGTTGATGTTTTTCTATATTATTATATATCTATTTATCAAAATATTCCTTTGAGATGTAGTAATTATTTGCCATATCAGAATTACGCTTTTAGTTTGTCAAAATCGGACAACAATATCATATAGCTGGAATAGAAACGATGGCAAAATGCAGCGCAAAATCGACATAGCTTCATTGTTTTAGTAATATTGGCTTAGAAATCAAAATATAGTCGTTTTGCTATACCTGCAAGGGTTTATAAACTTCGGCTTGCCGAAACTTGCTTCCTTTCTTGATAAAAACTAAACTCTTATTTGCAGTCGCTGAATTTTCTATTTGGTTATAAACCTTTTTCTGAAGCTATTTGGATGAAGCTTTTGCGAAAAGTATGTATGTAAGTCAGAACGGACCAGATCAGATGACTATAATATATAGATCCCATTGGAAAAATCGAAAAAAATATGAATACTTCCCGTATTGTGGACTCCAGACGGGATATTCAATTCAATTCATTTTATTAGATTTTAATAAAAACAATTACGCTTCCGGCATTATTAACCAAATATGACTGGAAAACATTAGTTTTGAGTCCAAAAGGATGCTAAGTGTGTTTCCAAAGGGCTGCCACTAAGCATATACGTATATTATATATATTTTTTAAAATTAAATGTCATAAGCTTGCACTTAAAGACGCTTAAATTTAGTAAATAATTCTTATGTCGAACCTAATAGAAAGTAGATTATTGTACAAAGGACACTGACAGAGCATAATGTGTGTTTCCGGATATGCTTCCGACAATTTTTGATTCAGTCCCTAGTTTTATATTTTAACGAATAAAGAGCACTTGGCTCGGTAGGAACTACTCCGGCCATCGCCGTCAATCAAATTATTATTTCACTTACCGAGGCCCAAGGCCAAAATAATAGGGGACAATTACCCTCTCAACATAACCTGCCGACGTCACCCACCAACGCGGCCTTAAAATATTTGCAACTCTTCGCCTCCCGTCTCATCCATCAACGAGGCAAGGACAGTTGACTGCGGACTGTTAGTTATCATTTGCAAATCAAAACAAATAATGGCTGTTTTCCTACAGCCAAACTCATATACTAGATTTTGCTTACAATTTTTATGCTGCATATGAGAATCGAAATTTAAGCTATATCGATTTTCGATCAATTTTTCGATCGTTCAGATGGCAGCTATATAATGTAGTTGGACAATTTTTATAAAATTAATACATTATTAGAAAAATTGTTCAAAATTACTATATCTCTTCGCAAATGTTAAGAACAACGAAGTTATATTTTTCCATTTATTTTGTGGCTTTTTATTTTTATTGGTGCCGACATTGCACATAATTTTGGCTTCCAAGGTCTAAACTTTCGAAAATGTATGAAAAACTGTGATAATCAATTTGTAGTCTTCTTCTTTGGTGTTGCCGTATGCAAACAGAGAAGACCGAACTACAAGATGATTTTTTAGTTTTATAATTGACCTACTATTGTTATTGCTAATTTGCCATTAACAGTGTGTTATCTGATTTGGTTTAATATATAGATTTTTAGTGACCTGTGTTTAAAAAAATATTTATTTTCCGGTGTTAAATTTGTGTCCTTCGCTTTCTCTCAAAGTTCTTGATCTTTCGGATTTTTTCATCGCTATATTTTTAGATTTTGTGTTAAAATTTCAGTTCAATAAACAAAACTGATATAGTTATCATTACCAAACAGATTTGCGCTACATGGGATACAAGTATCTTGGCTATTCTGGTCTGATTCGCGATGCTATGGACAAGAGAAGTGCCCAACACTACTACTGCAATGATTTTATTTTGTATGAATACCAGACAATTTTTGATACACCCGCTTAAAAATAGTATAAAGAACCCAACACCGCATGTGGACTTATCCTCCGAATTACCGACCGATGCTTGTAGTACAATATTAGTCCTGTGGTATCAAAAAGGAATTCTTTTCTATCACAACCACGAGACGTGATATTAAATTCAAAGCGTGCTGATCACAATCTATCTTTTCCCTTTTTGACCGAAAAATAATTGTACTTTTAGAAATTAATGCAGAGAAACCAAAACATGAGAAAATTCTAAAATTCTTTTTATTAGGATGCGTATTAATTTAATACTTACGAAAGTTTTAATACTAAGCTAAAAATATATAATTAAAAATATAATAAAATTTTAAGTTTTGGGTACCCAGTATCCAAATATTTTCCCAATATTCTTGCTGTCGTGCAGGAGTGTGCTAAGAAATAATTTTGCTTTGGGTCTTATGAAAAGATTTAACAATAGAAACAAGATAAGCATTCGGAATTTATGCAGGAAAAATTGGCTTTGTATTTCGAAATGCAAAGGTCATTTAATCGTCGGCTTGCCGTAGATAACTACCCTTATCGATTTTATATACTTATTTTATTTTTTATTTTTAGGAACAACTGGTCATCTTTTTCACCAAAAACAAATGTCTTATGGTTGTCCTATGTTATTGCCAAACTAGTGGAAAGCGTGAAATATAAAAGTACAAATACAAAGATTCACAGAATGTACATTCAGAAGCTAAATGAATTACAAAGCATTATACTGACTTTTGAGAGTGCCGTACACTGCGCCATACATCTGTTTAATATTAGTGAATGAGCGAACTGATAAAATTTTCATAACGCATCTTTTAATTGGTTTGCTTTCGTTTCTTATCTTTAAGAGCTACAGGTGTCCACCATTATAATAAATAACTCTTAATATGCGCCCAGGCATTAAATGAAGCAAGTTTGGAGAACCAATCCCTCGATTCTGTCCCATTCAGCTACAATTGCTTCCATTAATTCTTTTATGGTCATAAACCTTGCTCAAAGTTTTCTATACGGTTTAGATTCGGATTTTTGGTCTGCTCACAGCAGGATAATTTCTTCTTTCTTCAAAAAACCATTAAATATTTTGCAATTTCAGTATATAAGAAGTTGACAGTGGAAGCGTTTTATGATGAAATTTCGGAAACTCATATGACCATGAGTTATTGGCTTTATTGACAGAACTGAAACCAAAACCATGGCAATGCAGACCAAAAAAAGGAGGAAACCAAACACAGACATTCATATTAGAACAAGAGAACTAAGCAGGTTAACTCTGGAGTTTGCAGCAGGCAACAACATCAAGGGAATACCAGAAACAAAGGGTAGATGGCAAACGCACAAATCGGAGTTTCTAAAAAAGGAGATAGAATACCTGGGTCATGCAACGACTCAGAAAGGTTTTAAACCAAACCCGAAGAAGATTTAAGCCTAAGCTTTTCTCATTACTGGCTAATGGGCTTTAAGAAGCCCAATTCCAAGTTAGTGAGTTGGAAACTGCAACTATTGGAATATGCTTATAAAGTTTTTGAGAAAGAATCGCAAAATTTGGTGGCAGACGCTATCAGAAGAATAGAGCTACAAATCCACAATAGTGAGCTGTATTGAAACCAAACTACGTGTGCAAATACTAATAAGGGTATAGACTCTGAATGAAGAATTCAGGTGGCGGAAATATGTGAGATTGGGCCCAAATGGTGGAATCACCTTTTAGAAACAAAACTAAAAGAGCGATAACTGAACCGAATTTCGAAAAGGAGCAAATTGCTAGGATTATATACAAGAATCATTTGAAGAATATGTGCCTAGCAGACATTGATGAGAAAGGAAATGAGGAAGTGTAACACTTCAAGAAATTATGAGACATTTTGGGAGCTGAGACGTATATGAAAAAAAGGTCATCAATAAGTGGAGTACAATAAAGTATCCCTGCCATACCACTAAATAGTATTTCAGAAGACTCCCATTACGACGTTAGATATTGTACATACTGATCTGTACACAATTAACAAAAACTATGTTATGAAGATGTTAGTACGATAAAGTATACCTGACATACCCCTAAATAGTATTTCAGAAGACTCCCATTAAGACGTTAGATATTGTACATACTGATCTGTATACAATTAACAAAAACTATTTTATGTCAGTTATAAATAATTCTTTAGGCTTGCAATACAATACCAAATAGATATGGTATAAAAATTGTAAAATCAATAAACAAATTAGTAAGCCACTATTGTGTCCCCAAGAAACTTATTTGTGACCAAGGGTCTGAGTACGATTCAAGTTTATATAAACATTTTTGCAGACTGCATGGAACTAGTTGTATGTGGTGTCTTTTTAACAATGGTCTAGTAACTCAACGGTAGTGGAATTACTTTCTAGACTAATATAAATTTATAGAATTTTTGAGGGAATGATTTAAAATTGTAATGTGACCATGAGGAAATTTTGGACGAGGTTTTCTAAATTAAAACCTATTGAACGCCAGTTTTTGAGAAATCACCTTCGATACAGAACATGAATACTTCAAAAAGCTTGATGAGTATCGAGAGGAGATTTATAAAATTTTAAGGAGCAGCTTGGGCCAAACAAAAAAAAAAAACAAATTGAACAAGGAAAGAGAGGAACCACTGTAGTTGCAAAGAAGAGATTAAGTTTATAGAAAGGAATACAGAAGGAATAAGATAACGCCTAGGTTTACAACACAAGCAATCGAACAAGACATGGCAGTTAGGAGTAGGACGAAAAGGAAACAAGAAATTCAAAAGTCCCAGCTAAGAAATCGTATTCAAAAACTATAACTAATTACATCAAAAAATTACAAATAAATTTCGACCCAAGGACAGAATTGGATTAATATTAAGTGTAGGAAACTGTGTCAGCTGATCGGAATTCGAGCCCAACAAGGAAACCATAAATTCACCACGACGCGAGATGGATTGCGTCGTATGTTGAGTTCAAGAAGGAACCGAAAAGCACGTGTTATTACTGGACTGTTACATTGGCGACGAGGATTAAAGACTATTACGGAACTACTGACGCATAAGGAACGAAACTAAGTATTAATAAAATAAACGCCGGCTGTCGAAGAATACTCGGAAATTTTAGTAGAGAGCGGGCCGACTGAAGGTGATGGTTGTCGGCTTGCGTTAGAGTTTCCTGCGCAAAAAGGGTCTCCGCTTTGGGAATAGGGAAAAGCAACTGAGGCTGGTCGCCACTAGCAGTGCTGGACCACTTGTCTCAGCCGAGGCTTTCCGCCCTAGCGGCTGCGAAGCAAGCGGGGGGCGGGTGATCGTACCATTCGGGAGCGGAGGCTGGGCTCCTTGCAGCAGTCACCGAAAATGCACGTGAGGTTTGGGTAGGTTGAACTTTGGGGTGGGCTTGGTCGGCTGTGGCGAATACACTGGAGGCACGGAAATACTACTTAAGCACTATCGGTTTTGTACAGGGTTTTGGTTTTATTTTTTATACCCTTGCAGAGGGTATTATTATTTTGGTCAAAAGTGTGCAACGCAGTGAAGGAGACATCTCCGACCCTATAAAGTATATATATTCTTGATCAGGATCACCTCCTGAGTTGATATAGCCATGTCCGCCTGTCCGTCTGTCTGTCCGTCTGACCGTCTGTCTGTTTCTACACGCCCTTCTTTCCTTTGCACGCAGTATATAAGTTGGAACGGCCGGGATCGGCCGACTATATCCTATAGCTGCCATATAACAAATTGATCGGAAATGCCATAACTTTGGCGTTTGTAAAGTTAGATAGTTGGGATTTTCTATGGGTTTTATACTTGGCCAATCAATCCGACCTACCAAATTTAATAAGGATCGGTCGACTATATCCTATAGCTGCCATATAACTGATTGATCGGAAATGCCATAACTTTGGTGTTTGTAAAGTTAGGAAGTTGTGACTATTAAGAATTTACAGAATATTGTGCAAGGGTATATCAACTTCGGCGCCGCCCGAAGTTAGCTTACCTTTCTTTTTTAGTAATAAGATGCTGTTTCTACATGTGAATGATTTTCCCTGCCTATACCGCACTCCTTGTCTTAACGCTACTCACTTAGACAGACTCAGTGGATCCCGGCAAGCGTGGTGTTGGTATCCGTTGGAGGGTGTGGCTGCAGGTCCTGGCTCGGCTGGTGCACGGGGTACTACCGCAAGGTTACCGGTCGCGAAGTTAAAAATAATCCCACGTCTACTCCCGCACTCGACTTTCTCGTTCGCCATCCAGAACTCGACTCCCTTTCGCAGTCCAGAACTCGACTTTTTATACGCACTCCAGAACTCATGCAGCCAAGTTCTTTGGCATTCCATCTTTCTCGCTGCTTCGGTTTTTCTGCATGATCGAGTTGTCCTGCTCTCACGGCGTCGGGTTCTATTGCTGGTGACGCTGGCGTAAGCTCGCTCTCGCTCTTCTGCTCCGATGATGCCGTCGCTTACTCTCGCTCTTCTGCTCCGATGCTGCCGTCGCGTACTCTCGCTCTCTGGTGATCACGTGTTCGGTGGAAATTCCCATTGCATCTCCGGCTTGATTCTCGCTGCTTCGCTTGCTTCGCTTCCTTTGCCACTGTGCACATGTAACGACCTACTTATTGTCTCTATCCCTCCCACTGCCTAGAGAGGAGCTATTAAACTATCGTGCTTATGTTTTAACTTATTCTTATTTAATGTGGTTGATTAGATATTTAAATTGTGCGGCCAATTCTGGCCGTTACACCCCCCTTTACATCGGCGGGCGAAGAGAGACGGTGACCTCGTTCCGGGTATTGATCCGCACCCGATAGTGTTGATCGTTTCCGGTCTCCAATACCCGGATGTTGCGGCAAAGGTTTCTGGCTACCCGAGCCTGAAGTCGCTCCACGACATGTCGCGGCAAGTTGTCCTGAAGTGGGTATCCGCCAGTTGGCCGGGACGAGTACCCACTCACTGTGCCTCATCCGGCAAGTTGAGGGGCTTCGTTGGCCAGAACTCCTTGGGGTTATTTGCTCTCGCTCGTCGTGGGTTCCGCCTGCGGTGTTGGCCTGCCGTGACTGGTGGCTTTGTTGACGACGCAGGGCGTCGGCTGAGGTGCTGGGGCGATCGTCGTCCATGTCCACGTCCATGCGGAAACTGCGAACCGGCTCGCCAACAGGGGTTGCCAACTGGGTGTTTCCGCCACATGGCATTCGCGCCACGTAGTCGTAAACCACCTGGGCAATGCATCCCCTCCTACTGGCACTCGATTTTCCCCCGAAGGTCCAGTCTCAGGCGTTGAGGTTTCTGCTGGGGTTGTCCAGGTGGCGGGCTCCTGAAAGCCCTCCCAAGACCCGTAAGCTGGCGGTGGGTCTTCGTCCTCCTCTGCAGGTCCGGTGACTGGTGGCGGCTCTGGCTCGTCGTCGTCGCTTATGTCGACCACCTCGATCGTAAAAGGCTGGCGGGGAAGCGTGGCTCTGTCGTCACTGGTCACGAGCTGGCCGGCCACTGGGGTGTGCTCGGTCACTTCCAGCATGGGGCTGATCGCGCGCATATTCAGCTGTGGGAACCTGTCAGTCCGAAGTGGTACCTCGTCTTCCTCTACGTCCATGGCTCCATCGAAGCCCTCCAAATAGTGCTTCAGATACTCGATGGTGGCAGGGCTGAGCCCGTCGCTTATGGTGAGGGGCGACTCTGGGAGTATTACCACGGCAGGCACCATTGGGTTTGCCTCCATCTCGCTGTCCTCCAGTCGTTCGCGGGTGCGAGGTCGAGTATGCCGAGCGTTCCTGGTGGAATGGCGGCGTCTGCGGTGTCCTGGCATGTCTGCTCCCGGTACTGTGAAATATTAAAATTACCACCTAGTCCTGCCTAGCTGTCTTGGGAGTGCGGTTTACAATGTTCAGGTTAAGCTTACAGGCTAAGGTTACAATGTTCAGGTTAATCTAGATATATCTACTCTACCAGACCCTCATCTGTTGGGATGCCATCGGCGTCTTCGGACTCACTGTTGATGTCGTCTTCATGGAACGCCTTAAGGTCTGCAAGGCCAGCTGCTCGTCGGCGCTTGGTTCTCGGGTCTTGGAGTCGGATGATGTTTTGGGCGGCGAAATTTACGACCTTAAATGGCCGGTCATAGCGTGGAGCTAATTTGGCCGCAAATCCGTCCGCAGCCTTAGAAAGGTGGTGTTGCTTCACGAGGACTAGATCCCCAATGGCTGGCTGGCATGTGCGTTTTCTCAGATTGTAGTGCTGCTTTGGTTCTCGCTGGCCCGTTGCATATTTTCCAAGGCTACCCTGAAAACCTCTTGAAGATGGGTTGCCTTGGCGGTGGGGGTCACGGGTCCTCCGCCCGAGTGTGGGGTGACTTCGTGATAAAGTGAGCCCGGCAGTCTCGGCTCCCGACCTTGTAGGAGGTAAGCGGGGGTAAATCCGGTGGTGTCGGAAGCGCTGGAGTTGATAGCCAGGCTAATCTCCGGCAAGGCTGCATCCCAAGTTTTCTGGTTTCCTTCGATGTACTGCGCTATCATCGTCTTGATAGTCCTTTTGGCACGCTCTGTGGGGTACGCACAGTTTCCAGGAAATATAGTCTTATTCTTCCGGGCGATTCCCGAAGCGCCGATACAGCTGGTCGTTCTCTTGGGCGTACTCTGGGTAGTTAGCTGGCTCCGCGGCTATCCTCGTCAGCATCTTGGTTATCCAGGTGCACTTTTGCCGTCCCGTGGCTGCTTGTTGTAGTCGTTCTAGCGGTTGTCTCGAGAGCGCGTCGGCTACAACGTTTTGGTTCCCTCGGCGGTAGAGTACGTCAAAGCGATACTGTTGCAGTTCTAAGGCCCAGCGGGCAATGCGTCCTGTGGGATTCTCAATGGCGTTGAGCCAGTTTAGCGGCAAATGATCTGTGATTACATTGAAGTGGTATCCCTCGAGGTAACATCGGAATTTTCGCACTGCCCACACAATTGCCAGGCATTCTTTTTCACTTGTGGAATAATGGCCCTCTGCGGTCGATAGACGCCGACTGGCGTAAGCGATGACTCGTTCCTGGCCTTCAATCTGTTTCGTCAACACTGCTCCGAGGCCAAAGTCACTGGCGTCCATTTGTAACTCTTCTTGGGCAGCTTAGTCATTGGTTCCACAAGGTCTGTGAAGTTTGGTACAAATCTGCTGTACCATGATGCAATGCCCAGGCATTGTCTCAGTTCCTTGATAGTTGACGGTGGTTGGAGTTCCTTAATAGCGGCTATCTTCTCCGGGTCTGTATGGATTCCATCCTCGCTGATCTGGTGTCCTAGGTATACGATACTCCTCTGAAAGAATTTACTTTTATCCCGGTCGGTGGAGTACTTCCCGTAGATGCTGCATATGTTCCTTGAGCGTTTTGCTGACGATAATAATATCGTCAAGATACGCAAAAGCGTTGGTCCATCTCTGGTCCAATGACTTGATCCAAGGCGCGCTGAAATGTCGCTGGCGCTGAGTGGAGTCCAAACGGCATAACTTTCCAGTGCTACAAGCTTCGACCTGGCACTGTAAAAGCAGTGCATTCTCTGCTGCCGGCCGCCATCGGAATTTGCAAATATCCACTTTTTAAATCTAGAGTAGATATGTATTTAGCGTTCCTTAGTTTCTCCAGAATATGAATGATCCGTGGTAGTGGATACGCATCGGGAACAGAGCGGGCGTTCAGTTGCCGGTAGTCCACGCACATTCGCAAGTCTCCCGTCTTTTTCCCCACGAGCACGATTGGTGCGCTGTGTGGACTCTTCGATGGCTCTATCCTACCGTCGCGTAAAAGTTCATCAGCCTGGTCATCAATGATCCTTTGCATCGCTGGGTTCTTGGTGAAATAACGCTGCTTGATCGGACGGTCGTCCCTCATCAGAATCGAGTGCTCCGTAATTGAGGACACGCCGGTTAGTCCGCTGAATTTTTCCAGTTCGGCTTTCAACTCCGTCTCAGCTGTTTGCAGGTCTGCCTCGTCAACGATTTAGGTGTCTCTGTCTAATGGTTCATCTGTGGCGGCTGTGGCCACTGCTGCCGCTCCTGCAGATCGTCGAAATGGGTTACTCCGTATGGCTTCGGGGCATGGTGCAGGTAGAATATCTCTCGGGCAGGTCCTCTGTGCCTCGGTGGCG